TTGTGGGTAAGTGTGCATGTTGCGCGAGTGGGATAAGTTGGAATAGTGATTGGCATCATATTAGCTACATGTTTCATGTTTCATGTTAAACAATGTTTCATGTTCTGCCAAGGAGGGGACCACAAAAGTCAATATTTGAATGCATTTGTAGTGTACGGCCTATAGTCTATATGGCCAGAAGAAATGCACGTCAATGAATGCTTCCAGGTACGAGATTTATCGCAAGCAAAAGAATCCTCCATCCGCGAAGTCCCTTCCACCAACAAACATCAACCAGAGACTTCCTATCCGGAGAGCACATCTCCAAATGATGCTATGAAAGGCTGCAGACAAGGCTGACCCTCCTGCTGTCCAAATCACTAACTATGGAGTTACTGTAAATGATGAAGTGGTACCAGTGCTGTCAAAAGAACCTACCGCACCAAAAAACCTCATGGACGTCATTAGCTGCAACTGCCGAGCAGAGGGGAATGCCTGCAGCAGGAAGTGTGGTTGTGCAGCAAATGAATTGTCATGTACCAGCTACTGTGTGTGTAAAGGAGGAAATGAGTGTTGTAACTCACTGACACAACGAGATGATGCTGAAAAAGGATATGAAGAGCAGAAGGAAGGAGAAGAGGATCTGGAGACTGGAGAGAATGATCACAACTATGAAGACGAAGGCGAATAGTAAGTAGTTTGATGGTGTTTGGTGTTCATCTATGTATTACATGATCTAGCTGCATCATAATATTTAACATTTTTATATATAATAATAACCTACTGTTAAATATATAAGTTCTATAGACGATGGAATCCTTGGTGTTAAGAACATGGGTCTAAACATCAAAACAAAACTCTCTATCTTCCAACAGTTTCTCAGTTATGGTGATTTTACAGTTTACCTCATTATGCATGGCAGCCATATTGGATTTCTGGCAGTCGGAAGGATGGTAGGGGTTTGAATCCATGCCAGAACAATTGCTTTGTGTCGAAAACATGGGTCTAGACACACGAATGAAGTCTCTATGTGGATTACTAAGAAAGATATTCTTGATTTTGTGATTTGACCTAATTAATATGCTAATTAGGCCGATTAAGCAAAATGCTACACATATGCAAATTAGCATCCAGCAGTTTCTGAGTCCTTATGACCTTGTATATTGCATTTCCAACATAAAACCTTATAGTACTCGACATTTCTAGGTTCAATAAAGAAGACATAGGGGTGGCTAGTGGACTACAGAACGATTTTTCGACAACAAAGTTTTAAAGTTAACTCGATAACTGAAACG